GCTTTAACCTTTCCTCATAGGGAAAGTGTTCCAACCCTTTTATCATTCGAGTTGCCCTTTTCTGCACTTTTTCCAAAGCTATAATATCCTTTTTATAATATCCCCCTTTCTTCTAGTATTTCCATAGCTAAAACATGCAAACAATTTAGATATGCTGATGGGGGTTCATTAATGTGATGATAAGCCTCATAAAACTTAATGTTCATTTCAGAAACTGAAGCAATGTTTTATTTATTTATTTGATTGATTTATACCCCACCCTCCCCACCAAAACAGGGTCATGTGCAATTTCTAAAACACCTAAGCATTCCTTTGCAGAAGCGTTTCTCCCTGCTCCCAAAGGTATGTGCAATGCAGGCGGGAGCAAGTTCTCTAATTTTTCTCCATTTAATGTTTTCAGGAATACTAATTCTTGCACACACTCTCCAAACAATACTCTATTTCCCCTGGTTTAGCTGAAATACCCAAAATGTGTTTAATTGCACCTTTAGATCTGCTGCTGAAATCTTAGTTGCACTGGCAGTTTGCAAAACTCCTGCCAACAATTGCTGCAATTCAGGAGAAAAGTTTGCAGCAGGAGTAGAGGTTGCAACTGGAGTCTTTTCATCCACGTAACTGCCATCCAGCATTCTTGCTTTTTCCTGTGCAAAATTATTTACTTCTTCTCCAATAATTGTTGCAAACTCTGCATCTGTAGGAATTACATCTCACTTTCCATGCAACTTGTCCTTCTACCACTGCTTTCCTATTCCCCAGACAGAACCAGGTGTCTGGAATTCACAAAACAACATCTCTTTTCCTCTTTCTGCACACTTCCATTGCAAGCAGTTTATATTTGCAAGTTCCCTTCCAAGCCCCATGCTCATTGGATGCCAATTTTATAACCAATTAAATTCCAAGTTCTGTGGGGCAGAACTTGGAATGAATCTTGCAATAATTCAAAGAGAATAAAACATTTTTACTTTTCACTTAACATCATTTCATGCAACAAAAACATAGAACTTAGCGACACAACAGAAAAATTATCTTTTAAAGTCCAGACAATTAACTCTTTTCTCCTTCACAGCTTGCCACCCCAAAAGTCCATCTTTTTCCTCTTGTGGGTTTCCCAGGAAGTCTGCAGCTGAACACTCTGTGCACCAGCTTCAAAGATGAGGGTCCCAAATGAACTCCCCATCAGATAACACACGTTGTAACTCAAGATCAGGCAGCTCTTTCTTTAATCAGTGATTTCAGTTCATTAGAACAGAACACACTGAACAACCCTAACTTATATACAGTTTGGAATGGACCAAACCACACTCCCTAGAAGAGTAAGGTCCAATCATAAGTGAGTGCCTAGGACCAATAGGGTTTGTTCCTGCCTAAAGTCATAATCTTCCCTAATTGGTCCATTGCACAACAGCAGCCAACACAATACATAACACCCGTCCCCCCCTAAGTCAGCGCACATAGCCTGGGCGAGTTTTTGTTCTTTGGGATCGTCATGGCTCCCCTGCAGGAGAGGCATGGTCTCTGTAGGGAGAGGGTGAATTCGTGTCGGTGCTGCACTCTCCTGCTGCTGGACTGGTCGGGGCTGGACCATATGGAGGCTCAGCTCCAACGGACAGTGATGTGCCCAGGGGCGCTCCAGTTCCAGAGCCTGATGCTGAATCCAAGGAGGTGCTGGCTCCAATGGCTGGTGTCAGGTTTGAGGGAGGCACGGTCCTGATGATGGGCAGAATTATTAGAACAGAACACGGAACACACGGAACAACCCCAACATATACAGTTTGGAACTGGCTAAACCATACCCCCTAGAAGAGTAAGGTCCAATCATAAGTGAGTGCTTAGAACAAATAGGGTTTTTCCCACTGAAAGTCATAGTCTTCCCTGATTGGTCCATTGTACAACAGCAGTCAATGAGGCTTTTGATTTTAGGATACTGAGAGTCTATGGAGCTTGTGACTGAAGCTCAAGCTCATTCTACAATTCAGGCTATCCAGATAACAAAATACATAACACCACAGCCCTGAAACAATAATTCTAAAATTTACAATTTAGAACAAAAGTTTCCCTCCCTCAACAGTTTCCTTAAGCAAGTTGTTAAGAGCCTATGATTAAGGTTTAAGCTCCCCAGCAGGGAAGTCTTGCTTCCCTCTTCTGCTTTCCACACATTCTACAGATTTGAATTGCACTGTAATTGTATACCTTGATTACAATACCCTGGAAAGATTGTATACGTTGATTACAATATCCAGGAAAGATTGTGGGAACAGGATAGGTTTATCCTAGAGGAGACAGAGATGAGATATGATCATGCTGTTGAAGGATTTGAAAGACTGTCACAAGGACTGTTCTGTGCTGCCTCAGAGAAGAAAATTAGTTCTAATGGACTTAAGTTACAGGAGGGTAGATTTTGGTTGAACATTAGCAGAAACTTCCTAAAAAGAGAACCAATAATTGGTTGACGGTGTTCTCCAGCACTAGAGGTTGTCAAGCAGAGGCTAAACAAGCCAGATGTCAGAAATGTTCTTGTTTTTTATTTCCAGCATTAAGCAGAGAGTTGAGACTACAATGCATTCAGGAGAGGCTGTGGCTCAGTGATAAAATATCTGCTGGGCATACAGAAGGTACAAGGTTCAGTCCCTGGTATTTCCAGTTAAAAGGATCAGGTGCTAGGTGATGTGAAAGACGACTATCTGGGACTCCAGAGAGCTGCTGTCAGGCAGAGTAGACAATGTTGATATGTTGGCTGAATGGTCTGATAAGGCAACTTAATGTGTTCATATGTAGATGGCATTCAATTAATTAATATTGAAGAAAAGTTACATAAAGAATAAAGGAACAGTAAGTCATGCATGGTTGGTTTAAAGCTGCTAGCACACGCTTGTGAATTGGTAGAACTGTGTGAATCACATGGGTCTGTAGCGTAACAAAAACAGTAGAGACAAGCTTAACCCTGGAGTATGCAGTAAACAAATGCAGGATAGAGGATGTGGCTAGGGCTACAAAGCATTTGAGACATTTGGGTGGAGCAGAAAAACACTGGGAGCAGTTACACGACAAAACAACACTTTTTTGGTAAAAGCTAAGCCTTGCTGCATCAGAACAAAGGAAGACATATAATTAAATTGCAAGACGGAGCTCTTCCGCCAGGCCTTTGTATAGGAGCCGCAGCCGTCATTGTGCCACCACCGAGCTGCCATCTTCGATGGTGGATTAGATCTATACATGAGACGGCTCTGGGAAGACGCCTAGATGACCGAAGAACTTATGTTGCCAGGTTAGGTTGACAAATGGAACCCATCTTGGACTAATAAGACTTGACATCTAGAGCACCGCACTTTATTTATTGATTCTTTTTATGCTGTTTTCACTGTTTGTTATGGCATTTGCCTCTGTTGTTAGCCGTCCTGAGCCCATTTGGGGAGGGCGGGATATAAATCTAATAAATAAAAAAAATAAAAATCCAAGACACAAATAGAAAAATGCCACTGATGTGTGCAGATGCCCTGCTGTAAGTGCAGCATGAGCCACAGCTTAATTGCCTGTGTAACACAGGAATGTTCAGAAAACATGGCAGTTTTATCATTTTGCTAAAAATGTGTAAAAAGAAAACCAAGAGAAATACATGATCAGAAACAAATGAAAATCTAAATTATTTTTCATTGGTTACACTGCGTTTTTCAGCTATGGAAAATGGGCAATATGCAAATATTTTCAGATACAGCAAGTTATGACCCAGCAAAATGATCCACATTTCCAGCAGGGAAAGTGAATTTTGCCAGTTCTCCTCTTCCACAGCAGCCATTCTTCATGCTGTTGCTGTAGTGTTCCCGTCACCCAGGAGCAGCATTTGAGGCTTCACCAGGAGGGAGAGCCATGAAAAGTTACTCGGTCTGTGGTAAATTTCAGGTGGTCTCTGTATCACATCCCTGGTATTCCTTGTAGGTCTCCCATCCAAATACTGTCCAGGGCTGACCCCACTAGCATCCGAGATCCAATGAGATTGGACTAGCCTGGGCTATCCAAACCAGTAGATCACCAATATTCAGGAAGTAGTGAATTCTGAAATTGAACCACCGGACTGCTACTCATCTTATGTACAGAACGGCACATGTGAGGAGGGCCCTCCATTATATAGTGATTTAAGTAGCAAGACTAGGCCTGAGGAGACTTCGTTCAAATTCTCACCTTTAGGAAAGTTTGCATGCACACGAAAGCTCATACCCACAATTAAGCTTCACTAGTCTTAAAAGTGCCACTGGATCCAAACTTTGTTCTGCTGCTCCAGACCAACACAGCTACCCACCTGAATCTATCACTGTTCGGAAGTTTATTCAACAGCTTTGGGTCAGTTTCTTGCTCTCTGCCTAAACTTCAGAGACATTGAGAGAACAAGGGTGGTGGCAAGGTACCCTGAGTGCCTTAAAGGAAGGGTGGGATACATATATGTCAGCAAATATCATTAGTAACAATGCCCTCAAGCTTTGCTACGGAGTTCAAGATGTTGGTAAAAGAATGAATGGTTGAATTTTTCATGTCTCCCTGATCATGATCTAAAGCATGACCCACCTTTTGGTTAGAAGCATCAGTAATCCAAGTTCTATGCCAGATTTTATGCAGTAATGTAAACATTCACATTTTATGCAATTTATGCATGGCACTATTAATTGTACTTGAAGCTTGTTAATCAATCATGCCTCCATTTGTGGAATCAATTGTATTAATCACTTTCCATGACATACCTTGAATGTTTAATAAGTGAGTACACGAGAGTGAGAGCAGACAGAGACTCAAAGTCTCTGGGAAAATCATGTACTTGCATCTCCCAAGAACATAACTGCTAGTTCTCAAGTTAAACAAAAGCATGATGGCTTTTCAAAACATGATAGTGTTAACAGTGGCATTTGACTGCTTGCAATAATTTTTAAAAATCTGAGACCTGAGTAAATCAAGTGATTCCATTTTTTATTTAAAACTGCATTATAAAAAAAATAGCATTTCTGAATTCCCTGTACAGTATTAGCTATTAACAAAACGAGCAGACTACACACCAAATTACTTATACAAGCTTGACAGTGTTGAAGTCCAGGGTATTTTGCCCCAAATTTCATTAAATGAATATTATATACACATGCATGGCACCAGCCCTTCCCTACCAATACTTGTGGAAGCATGTCTCAAAATTCAGGGAGGCTGAACAGCCACACAGAAGGATATATTTACAAACAGCTGAGAGGTGGTCAAGCTGCTTCATATAGTGGCAAGACATCAGAGCAAAACAGGCAGGAGATATGACCTGGGGGCTGGGGAAGGAGGGCTAGGGGGGCAATGTAACAGAAAACCAGAACAGCAGCTGTAGGAGTGAGGTGTAGACTATAAGCCCACATGATTCATAAATAAAATAAATAAAAGTTATCCAAGTTAGGACATTTCATTTTAAAAAACCCTGGAAATAAATTAAAAAAACAGAAGTAAAAACATTATAAACTACAATCTTCTGTACAATAAGCTTTGTTCCTGTATTCTGTACAAAATTACAGTTCAGTGGGGTTGCATTGTTTGTGCACTTGAGGATGTCCCGGCTTTTGAGAGGCGACAAAAGCCAACTCAGAGTTCATAATGGGCAACCATCAGCTAGGGTTTGCCAATGTATCACACAAAGCCTCTTTTGATGAAGTTCTGTTTAAAAGGTGGAACAAAAACAAAACCCAGATGAATCTTGAGACAGCAGCAGTGAAGGAGCTTTCAAGTATTTCCCCCCCAGCACAGCTCAGTTTGCAACTGAAGGCACTCAGAACATGGTGACACAGTGAAGACAGGCAGCCAATCCAAATCAATACTATCCCTCCCTGCTCCCATACCCAGATTTCCCCCACTTAAACATCTGCTCTCTCTCTCTCTCTGCTCCACTCGTTTCTTATTCTAGGATTCGATTCAGCAGGTTATGGACACTCAGTGACTTGTCTAAGTCACCTAGTGGCAAGGAGATTTGCAATTCCACACAGTAAGAGATTTCTTCAGGCTTGGAAAAGTTTCCAGGCAGGCTGGATCTGGAATGAGATGAATGCAGTCCCTGTAAAAATTCCCACTCAGTAGGGCAGAACTTTGTTTTGCGCCCAAACAGATGAAATACTCTGCTATTTGTTAGACTCTTGAATTAGACTGTGCAAATGGATCTCAGCTGTTTCCTGAGGCAGGAGGACATCTTGCATCCAAGAATGGTTCAGAATATCTTCAAAAGATGGCCTGTCAGAAGGCCTCAGAGCCAAACACCACTTAATAAGATGCTGGCATTCTGGAAAAGAAAGCATAAAATTAGCACAAAGGAATCTGCAAAACTAGAAGAGGCACAGTGCACATCTCTCAAAATGTATGTTTGAAAGAAACTGCTACACTAACAACTCATACATAGTATATGTTTACAAAGGACTTGGATATGGAAACCCTACAACAGTTATTGATTGGAGGGACCACTGTTAGCCAGCTACCAAGTTCAAATCCTGGAGTACAGCTTGTATAGCTGAGATGCATGCTAAATTACAGCAGCAGCAGCATGTAATACAAACTGTTTTCTTAAGAGAACAGATAAGCCTCTGCAACAAGTGCTCTCTGGATAACGTGCTGAATGCCTGAAGTGACAATGCACACTGTGTACATTGTGTACAATGTGACCCAACGTTCCATCCAGATCTCACCATCCCTTCTGTTGCCCCCTATTAAATAAAGGTGGCAAACACTTACCTGGAGAAACCCTTTGCCGAAAATAGACCTGACCCCTTAAGATCTCCTCATCATGTTCGAAGGGGATATCACCACAGACCATGTCATACAGTAATACACCAAGTGACCAGACAGCTGCAGATCTGCCATGGTACCTGTGGTAGCGGATCCATTCTGGGGGACTGTATACCCGAGTCCCTGAAAAAAGGAAAATTAGATCTGATCATTAAGAGAATTAAAAGATCCTACAGAATTCTGGTAGTGATATGCTTAATCCATGCCTTAATTTTAGCACAAGGGCTTGATCAGGATTTAGATAATCCCTCCTAGCCTTAGTAGTGCCTGGACACTGACACAAGGAACAGAAAAATAACCTGGCTTTCAGCTGCACTAACGCTGTATGTATCATTAAAAAAAAGTTTTAAAGTCACGTTTTCCACTGAAGCAGCTTGCCTGATTAGTCTCCATGCTTATGTTATCATTATGGAGAGTCCCTAAACATTAAAGTTGGTAGAGAGAAAAGATAATTCTCTTCTCAAAGTTGCCTTAATTTAAAAAAAAAAAAAACCCTCTCTCCTCAAAGGAAAATAAGAACTATGCAATCACCAAGTTATCCTATTTAAGAGGTCAACAAAGATGTATTCTGGAGCATTACAGGAGAGGTTTGGTACCCTTGTGTACACTGCAATTATGAGGTGCTCAGATTGCACCATACTTGCACTACTGCAAGAAGAAGCTCTTGGCATTGATACACTCTCTGCCTTTACTGGTAGTATCTGATTCCCCTACACACACACAGGAAACAGGGATACTGAGGTCAGGGCTGCTCAGTCTGGTTTCCAGCCACGTGACTCTTGTTTACAAACTTTGGGTTGTAAAAAAATACTTCTTGATCCACCAGGGGGCACCACCAGACAGGAAAACTATGTCAGAAAGAGGGCAACATGGGGAGGAGCAAACCCATCCCTGGTCATTAACCGTTAAATTAAAAACAAAACAAAAAATGCAACACAGCAGCTAATGTCATTCGGGAACACAGATGCAGAAAAGAAACTAACCAAAAGCCAGCCATGATTTTTGAAAATCAACGGTTCTCACAGAAAGTCAGTTAGCCATGCAAGCAGCTTAGTTTTTTCCCCTAGAAATATTTAGCATTTATCAGCAGCTCACATTTCTGCCCTGTAACACTTTTAAAATATTTGAACTACTCCTCTTCCTAACACTAAAACAACAGACTACTTGTCTCATGTGCTTGTATGCTTCTTAGTAGGAAAGAAAACTGAGCCGACTGTAAGCAGATCTACTCCAGATTACATTTCACAACATTCATGCCATGACGAAAAACAACTTTCCAGTTAAGATGAATAATTTAGCAAGATGAAAGGGGCAGCAGTTTTTCTGAACAATTACTATCTCCACCACCCCCTGAACTCAGATATCACTGAGAGGCCAAAGCCCAGTATTCTCTCTTCCATCTACCAAATTTGGAGAGAAAAACACCAAACCAAGAACCTTGCACCACATTACGTCTTGCCTTGTCTAGGATAAAAACCAAACTCATACAGTAACACCTAGGTGAATGAGTGACCACTACCTCAAACATTTGTAACAGACCTACTCTCTTAACTTCCTTATTTCTATGCACACCGTAGAAAAAACCCTGCAGATCCAGAGTAGAATTATTAATTTGACTACAGCAGTCATTAATGAGACTTAAATCTCTTCCCAGAAAGCAGGATGAATGTAGGCAAAAAGGATAAATGTCTTTCACAAGCAAATCTACGAAGTCCTATAAACCAGATGAAGAACATGTTCCATTGCTGGGCAGTTACTGAGCACTCAAAGGCAAGGAACACACTGTTTCAGAAAGGAAATTCTCTGGCTCAGAGGGACATATGGAAATTGACAAGACTCACCATCAAAGTCAGTGTACACTGTGTCCTTGAGCAGTGCTCCAGATCCAAAGTCTATAAGTTTTAGCTCTCCACTGCTCAAATCAATCAGAATATTCTCATCCTTGATATCCCGGTGGAGCACCCCACAGCTGTGGCAATGCCTTACTGCTTCCAAAATCTGACAGAAAAAACTGCGGGCCAAATCCTCAGGCAAAGCACCTCGCTCTGTGATGAAGTCAAAGAGATCCTGCACAGGGTCCGGGCGTTCCAAAACCAAGATGAAACTGTCTGGCCTCTCAAACCAATCCAGAAGCCGGATCACCCCTCGAAATCCTGAGCTGACTTTTTTCAGGAGCAAAATCTCCATGGGTACTCTTGTTCCACCAGGCTGAGCAGAGAAGATGAGAGGGAAGGGCAGGGAAAATAAAAATGGTCCATGAATACAAGAGCAACATAATCTATGCAGCCTAGAACTCAGTGCACCACTGACTGCAGAAACCCAGAGGTCACTCAGGAATTTTTACCCCCATCTACTTACCAGCTCTCCCCAGTCTGAAACGCGGTCACGGGACACATGCTTGATGGCCACCTGCAAACACACCACAACAAAAAAAAGAGACTCAGTGCCAGCACCGGTAACTACAGACACTGAATAAAAGAGAAGAACAGAAAGATAAGAGGGGCGTTGGAGGGGATTTGTTAGGAGAAAGCCTAAAGAGAGCACTGGGGAGTGCTGGAAGCACGCTTCACCCGAAATCTGGGTAGCAATCTAAACACTCACCGGAGCGCCATCCGCTAGCCGGGTGCCCGAGTAGACAGAGCCGAAGCCCCCACTGCCTAGCAGCGGGCCCACTTGGTACAGCTTCTCCAGGGGTTCCTTTTCCTTTCCTGCAAAACGAAGGAGGGGGGGGGGTCAGCTCCAAGAACACCCTCAGGCCCCTCCTCGCATCATTCCCGCCGCCCCCCGGCTGATCCCTCCCCGGGCAGCAGCCTCGCTGACCTGGCAGCGGCTTGACTGGGTGCAGATCCCCGCCGGGCGCCGAGCACAGGTGGGCCAATGAGTTGATCTTGGACAGCAGCATCCCCGCCCCGTCCGCGTGTTCCAGGCAGGCCGGGACCGGCGGCGGCTGGGGTGAGGCTGCCGGGCTGGAGTCTTGGCGCGGGCGGGAGCTGCAGGCGGGGTCGTGCCGGGCCAGGCTGCTCCCTCCCGTGTGGCGCGACGGCCCCGGCTTCAGCCGCCTGTAGTAAAGTGGGAGGGAGCAAAGCCAGGGCGGAGCCGGGGAGAGCCGGCGGGCAGGTCTCCAGCAGGCGCGGGTTCCGCCCACTGGCGCGGCCCCGGCCAATCGCTGATGCTGTTGGCAACCCGCGCTGGGCCTCTCCGTCAGAATGGGCTGCTGAGGAGACTCGACGTGGCGGGAAGGAAAAGGCGCCAAAGAACGAGGGGGAAGGGAGGAGGGGCGAGAATGGGAATCCGGAGAATGGAGAGGAGGGGGCTGAGGGAGTCTGGCGGGAAAAAGGAGAAGACAATGGGTAGACGGGCGCTCAGGAGGGCCGCTGCGCAGGGGCCGACGTGGAATGCTGGCTATGCCGAAGGCGGCGGCTGCTCAGACGGCTCGCCGGGGTGCATTGCTGCCTTCGACAAGTGTCTTTTTTCAAACAAACAAACAAAATCCGCTGCCAGTCCTTGGGGCTGCCACAGCCTCTGTCTTCAGCCTTTGACAGCAGCGTGCTCAGCTTCAGGCAGGTGCGCTTTCCTCCATCGCTGCATCATCAGGCTGGGGAAAGCACTTCTGTTCTGCGATCGCCGTTTTGAGATCAGGGGCCATGGGGGAGGGGGGCTGCCTGGGAAAGCAGCTTTGTGAGCCCCATCTATCTCAGGCACCAGGTTCACTCATCATCCGGCTAGTATAATCAGCCTTTCCCCCCCTGACAGTGCCTTCAACTGCTGCGCAGCAGGCAAAAATCTAACTGGTGTCGTTTCCTCACTGTTTCAAGTTAGGTTAGGGTTACTTATAGCCCCATCCTAGGAACACTTTCCTGGGGGTAAGCCCCATTGAATAGACCAGAGTAGGATTCTGAATAGACCTGCTTAGGATGGCAGTTAGTCTTGGTTTCATTTATAAGAGCCCTACAGAATCTGGGCTGTCTTGGTCCAGTGCTTCTCAGACCCTTTTGGGTTAGGACCCAACAGTGAGACTGGGAGGAGGGAGAGGAGACTGCATGGCAATTTTGGGGCTGGCTGTGCATACAGGGCCGGCTCTATCACTAGGCCAGCTAGTGTCTGGCCTAGAGCGCACCGGCCCTCGGGGGCGCAATTTTGGGGCTGGCTGTGCATAATGTAAGAAATAGCCATGAAATAAAACCTGTTGCTCAGAAGTGCTACATTTATAAATAGTAAATGTGAAAAAGAAAACATAAACTTGTCCACTCTTAACTGACATGAGATTCCTGCATTTTATGCTGCAGTAGGGGAAAGTATTGTGGATTTATTTTGCAGTCCTAAGTCCTTTTAGGATCAAACTTCCTCTTTTTTGGAAGGGATCTTCAATATGTGCTTAGGTAGTACCTGACAAGCTGAGTTTATGTATGGGCCTCTGGAGTAAAAAGTGCAAAATGGGAGCAGAGATGGATTAAATGATTAAAGCAAATGTGTATGGTAGTCAGTTAGGTGATGAGGTCTATGTGAACATGCAAACCAGACAAGTTCTTGAGTATTAAAATATAATCTGATACTGGCTGTATATTCCACAGGATGGGAATGACTCTGTACTTTTAAATTTATTTAATTAATTTCTATCCCGTGCTCCCTGCAAACAGGCTTAGGGTGGGTTATGAAAAATTATGACAATGATCACATTAAAATTCTAAAAACAGCGATTAAAATCACAAAAACAGTAAAGATGGCATTATCCTGGATTTGTTTAAGATATTATTGACATTCACAAATCCATTTATAAGGGAGAGGAAAAGACTAAACAACAGGAGATAAAAAAAATAGTGGAAAACTTTTATAAAAATTTATATAATGAAACGGATATATCAGAAAATAAAATTTCTGAATATTTAGACAAATGGGAAAAGAAAAAAATTAATAAACAGCAGGTAACACAATTAAATGAACCCTTCACGATGTGTGAAATAACTGAAGCTATTAAAACCGGGAAGAAAAGGAAAACACCAGGGCCGGATGGAATTCCAACGGAATTCTACCAAAAATTCGAGGACCAACTAGCAGAACCATTCAAAAACAAGCTGCAAAGCATAGCTAAAGCAAAGAAAATCCCAGCTTCATGGAGTGAAGCAAGTATTACATTGATTTATAAGCCAGGCTCCAAGGAATCAGAAATAAAGAATTACAGACCAATCTCCCTACTTAATGCAGACTATAAACGCTTTACAAAAATTTTGGCAAGCAGATTAAAAAGAGTCCTAGTACAAACCATCCACACAGACCAATCGGGATTTCTACCAAAAAGGAAAATTCAAAACAACATAAGAAATGTGATAAACATTCTGGAACATTATGAACAACATCCTGGAAATCCAGTGTCAATTATGCTGTTGGACGCTGAAAAAGCGTTCGACAATGTAAATTGGAAATTCATGTTACAAAAATTTAAAAAATGGGAGTGTGGAGAAAACTTCCTCACATGGTTGCAAACGATATATTCATCCCAATATGCCAAGGTAATAGTCAATGGAGAACTTACAAATAGTATACAAATACAAAAAGGTACAAGGCAGGGATGTCCATTATCACCCTTATTATTCATATTTGCGTTAGAAACCCTAACAGATAGAATTAGAGAAAACGACCACATAAGAGGCTTGAAGGTGGGAGGTGAAACATTTAAACTTCAAGCGTTTGCGGACGATTTAATATTTATAACAGAAGAACCGGAAAGATCTCTGATATGCCTAATTGAGGAAATACAAGAATTTGGCAAAGAAGCTGAGTTAAAAATTAATTTTCAAAAAACAAAAATAATAACAAAAAATTGTGAGGAAAGCTTAATACAAAAGATTTAAAAAGTTACGGAAATGGACATAGCCAAGAAAGTAAAGTACTTAGGAATTTGGCTGACGAATAACACCTCAACTCTATTTGCGAAGACTTGGCAATGGGTTGGCACGCATACCTTTGGTATGGTAAAGAAAAAATCCACTCAAATCTCCATACACATATAATTAGACGGGCGTTGATTAAAGTTTAGAACGAAGTAAAGAAAAAAAATTATCCAAAGCTACCATTATGGATATCACCTCTAGAGGCTTTCACATTACCGACCCTAGTAACTGCGAGGAAGAAGGAAATATATGGCAACCTGCTCACAAAAGAGATGCTTTTGAAAACAGATAAAATGTTAGAAGAACAAGGAGTGGTATTGACATGGTGGGACAAAAGCATAACAACAACAAGACTCAATATAGATTAAAAAGTAGGCTTTTATAGCAGTCCAACAGAGTTAGATAAAATCTGGTTATCAACAAGCGATAAACTGATACAAAAACTGTATAAAAAATTGTTAAAGGACGGTGAGCCGGAAAACGATACGAAAGATCTTAAATTAAGATGAGAGAAAGAATTTGGCCACAAAATAGATGAAGCTAGCTGGTCAAAAGTTTGGAAGTCGATTAAAATGACTAGAGCGGTACCACTCAAAGAAAATACATATAAACTGTATTACAGATGGTACTGGACACCAAACAAAATTGCAAAATGTTTCTCCAATGCCTCCAATAAGTGTTGGAGATGTAAGAAAAACACAGGAACATTTATGCATATTTGGTGGAACTGTAATAAAATCCGAAGATTCTGGAAAAAACTAGTAAGAATATTAAATAAAAACTTGAAAATAAAAGTCCCCCTAATACCAGAGATATTTCTATTGAACATGATTCCGGACGTCATCCAAAAACACAAACACATAATCACACACACAATAACAGTGGCTAGAATACTAATAGCAAAAAGATGGAAATCCAATATCTTACCCTCAATAAGAGAACTAAAAAATAAGACCTTGGAAATAGCAGAGATGGGTAAAGTAGATATGGAGTTAAAACAAAAACCAGAAGAAAAATATTGGGAAAGGTGGAAACCAGTATACAAATGGTTAGGGATAAGGAGAATAAAAAATTAAAGAGAGATAGGCTAGCGCAAGTAGTGAAAGGGAAAGATATAAGCGTAAAGCATCATCTAACAGGAAAACTAGAAACTGTAAGCTGAAATGTGGAAAATGGAACATATGATGTCAAAAAATTGTGATGTAAATATTACTTTGAATTGGAAACAATGTACTGAAGACTGTTAAGTGTAATAGTTTGTAAAAAACCAAATAAATAGACTTAAAAAAAAAGAAAGATATTATTGACATTCAGATATGGCCTGATCCAAGGATTCCCGAGTTAACTAGCTCCCTGCTAGCAACAGTTCGACAAAAACAGTTCGGCAGGGATATGAGCAGGAGGGGCTGATGGTATTGGGCGTCTGTTGCCTCAATTAAAAGCCTGGTGAAATAGCTCCGTTTTACAGGCCCTGCAGAATTGTAAAAGATCTTGCAGGGCCCTGATCTCTATTGGAGCTCATTTCACCAGGTCAGGGCCAGGGTTGAAAAGGCCCTGGCGTTAGTTGAAGCTAGATGGACATCTTTTGGGCCGGAGATTACCAGTAGATGTTGATCGGCTGAACATAAGGCCCTTCTGGAGAGAGGTGGTCCTGTAGGTATGTTGGTCCCTGCCTGCTTAGAGTCTTAAAGGTTAAAACCAACACATTGAAACGGATCCAGAACTCTATTGGCAGCCAGTGCAATCTGCACAGCACCAGCTGAATGTGTGCCCACAGAGATGTTGCACACAGCAGGTGTGCTGCTGCAGTTGGCACTAGCTGCAGCTTCTGGATGAGGTACAAGGGTAGTTCTGCATACAGCGAGTTATAGTAAGCCAATCTGGAAGTGACCGTTGCATGGAACACTGTAGCCAAGTCATGAGTGGAAAGGAAAGCCAAACCTGCTAAAGATGAAAAAGGGCTGATGTGGCCTGGGCCTGCATCAGTAGGGAGGCATCCAGTATCCCTCCTAGGCATCAATGATGGGAGCCAGATTCCCACATATAAACCCCCATGGCTCAGGTACAAGACCTCTGTCTTCAATTAATTCAACTTCAGCCGACTTTGCTGTAACCAACCAGCCACAACCCTCAACACCTGGACCAGAGCGTCTTTGATTAG